CAGCTGGCCCAGACTGAGAGGCGGTGGAAGATGCAGCTGGGATCCCTAGGCCAGGCCAGGCCTGTGGGAGGCTGGGTGAGCGGCCCTCAGGCGTCAGCCTGCAGGCCTGGAGAGGCGACTCCCTAGGCGTGGGTCCAGTGGCACCAGCGGGCTCCCTGTGTCCAGAAAGGGGATCAAGCACTGCATTTAGGAGCCGGTCTCCCCCAAGTACCGAGGGGAAAGGAGGGCAGGGTTGTAATGCTGCAGGTTGCAGGATGGGGTGGACCTGACGGGTGAGGGGCACGCAGGAAGGCAGCTCTGCACAGGCCAGTGCCCGCAAACCCACAGTTGGGGCTGGGGAAAGGAGATGCCAGGTGTTCGGATCTGGATCTGTGGACAACTGACAGACAGACTGAGTGCTAATTTGCATATAGCTCCCCATGTGATTCGATTCACATACGGCTGGCTTGCTTAACGCCCCGAGGCCCCAGAGTCCTTGTGGTCTCCGCTGCTCTCCCGGCCTCTCCCCCAGGGCGTCAAGCCTGGGCCTGACAGCTGCGCCCAGTCAGGATGCGAGACTCCGAGCAGAAGAGGCCGGCAGTGCCTGCGGGCTTGGGGTTCTCACTTTGTGTCCTCAGGCCAGAGCAGCTGAGGCCGGGCTAGTGAAGTGGGGAAATGCAGAGGGGCCACACTCCCATGCGGGGCGCCTCTGATCCCACTTCCAGGCCCGGGACCCCTCCTACCAGATTCTGTCCACCTGAGAGAGTGGTGGCCAGGCCACCTTTCCAGTTCATTAGTCGAGACAGGGGCCCAAGCACTGGGAGCGGACTGGCATGGGCCCCAGGCTTGGATCGTGCCGTCGGGGGAAGAGGCTGCACAGGACCGGACTGGTCCTCTGCCTCCTTCAGGAGCAGAACCCCTTCTGGAGAAGGCAGGGACTTCGGGAAAGCTCCGAGGTGGCCACTGTCAGTGGCTGGAGGGGAGATGGAAACACCTCAGGGAAGTGTTTGGGAGGAGGAGGAATCCCGAAGCCCAGATGGACGGGGTCAGATAAAGTCAGAGTGTCCGGAGTGAGGGCCCAGGAAGGGAGAGGGCTGTGTGTCCCTGGGGAGGGTGGACTCTGAGAAGAGGGGGGCTTGGCCCTGGGCCCTAGAGAAGAAGCTGGCCCTCCTGCAGGACTCTGCCCAGGCCAGCGCCTTGCTTCAGGGACAGCAGACTCTGCTCCGGGACCTGCAGGGGATGAGGTAAGGCTGCAAGGCGGTGGTCCTGCGGTGGGGGGAAAGGGATTCTCATTTCGCCAACTTGCCCCTCTGCCTGCTCATCAGGCTTTTAGTCCCCTCCTCATTTCCTGACTGCCCAGCCCAAGACCTGGCACATGGGGATGGGCTGGGGGCAGAGTTGGGTTTCTTGAGCTGACCTGAATTTAACTGAATCAAGTTTAAAGCTTTGAAAGCCCTAGTTTAAAAGCAACTCTCCCTGGAAGAGAGACATTCCCATCCCAGGGAGAATTAGTAAATCTCAGCCTTCCTTCAGTGACAGTTCCTGAAAGGAGGGGCCATTTTGATGGGTTTCTTGGAAAAAGCATAAATAAATTGGGCACGTTCGCCCAATTGAGGAGTGGGGCAGCGCCTGACTTCCTCTCGCCTCCTTCTCTGCTCCTAGCATCCCACTCCAGGCCAGGCCTCAGGAGCGAGCCACAGAGCCCTGGGGGCAGGGGGGCACACTGATGCCATGGAGGAAGGCTCCAGGCTGGAAGCTGGATGCTGGGTCCCCTGCCCACCCCTGCTCACACCTACATGCTTTGGGGTGCAAAGATGGGAAGAGAGAGGGGCTAAATTCCCTGGGAGCTGAGGATGGAGGGCAGAGCCCAGGGACCTGGGGTTGAGGCAGATATCTTTAGGGAGACATTTCTCTGAGCTAAAGCTGAGGGTCCAGGAAGAAGTTTTGGGGTAAGAAGTCCCAAGAAAGGGCTCTATGGATGGTGCCTGTTCCCCACCCAGGTGTGCCTCCAGGGATCATGAGAAACAGTTAGGAGGCTTGGGTGCAACCAGAAGGGGTGATGAGTACTCACCTTTGGTTTCCAACTCCTACCAGGGATGCAGCTGCCCACATGGCCTCCAGAGCCCAGGTCTTCTACTTGCCTGTGGGTACCAAGCATCATTTCTTAGAGCTGACCCAGATCCTGAGCCTTCTGCAGAAAGACCTTCGGGGCCCAGCGGTGAGGGGGAAGGCAGGCGTCCCCCGGGGGCTCCATCCCTGAGGTCCGGGCCCAGTGCCCTGCCGGCACTCTCGCAGCCTCAGGCGCCTTCTGCCTTTACTTCCCCTCCCAGGACCCCTGGCAGGCACGGCTGCGTCTGTCTGTCTGTCTGTGTGCGCGCGCATGCGCACCTGCTCTCAGGGACACAGAGCTCATCTTTTCTCTGCCCTCTCTGCTCTGGGGAGAGTGCCACTCTGAAGACCACTTGGTCCAGTGCCCGCAGCGATGAGGGGGGGCTGGGGTGGGCTGTGCCCAAGAGCGTTCAGAGTTTTGAAGCCTGCCCTCCCCGCGCCCTCGCCCTACCTTGCTCTTTCCCTGGTCCTCACCACCACCACCCTGTTGTCTGTGTTCCGCCCTCTTTCTCATCTCTAGAGACTTTGGCCCCGTGATGATCCCAGGCCCCAGGCCCTCCCAGCTGTTCCCACAGATGGAGCCATGGGAGCCGGGGGGGGAGAAGGCAGTTTGTAAGCTACTCCCTCCCCAAGTTTGCTGGACTGGAGCCAGAGTGCCCCAAGCCTGAGAGGGAAGCAGAGCACACGCATGGCCCAGACTCTAGGGCCCCTGCCTCCTTTTGGGTCAAGAAGCTGACGCAGAACCCTACACTGTCCTTTTCCAGAAATCGGCAGCCAAGGAGCCCCGCCCACCCGGCCGGTCCCCAGGGGCCTCCTCATGTCTGCGGCCTGGCATCTTCCTGTTCTTCCTCCTCATCCAGGCTGTAGGCTTCTTCTGTTATGTACACTTCAGGTGGGCTTCCCTCACCTGTGCAGCATCTCTTGGTTCTGGACCGTAGCTATTCAGTTTGAGCGAGGGGGTCACTGCAGCCCAGTGGGGACTTGCCTGGTCCTCCAGCTGGCAAACAGCTGCATCCAGGCTAGGACCCATTTTTCCAATAGGCTCTGCCCACTACTTTCTCAGCCACTGGTCCACTGGGGTCCTGCCCTCACAAAATTCACTCTCTAGTGTGAGAAACTGGATCAGTAACTGATAGTCACACTGTATATGGTCAGTGCTACATCCGCATAGCTCAGGGGCTATAAGAATTTACAGGAAAAACATTTGACCAAGCTTTGGGAGATCAGGGAATCAACCTGGAAGGGACATTTGATGTGGGTGAAGGTGACTGGGAGCTTTCCAGACTGACAAGTGCAGGCATAGATGCAGAGGGAACAGTATGAGAAAGGCAGGGAAGCATGAAAAAAGCATAATATTTTGGAAAAAAAAGTGGAAAATTCAGGGCCAAGGCTGGGACCAGTTTGTGAAACTGGGCAAAGAGAATTGAAAAGGTGGGGGGGGGGTCACTATTTCTGCTTGGTAGGGGTTTGTTGACTGAATTAAACATTTACAGATGTAGGCTGTGGTAAGGGGCTCAGAAATGGGACTTACAGTCCTTGTTAGAAGATTCAGTGTGGTCTGGGGTGGGCCTGGAGGAGGACTGAAGTATGCTGAGCTTTAAAAGCAGAGTAGGAGAGAGGATGGCCCTCAGGTGAGGAGAGCAGAGAGGTACAAGGTGGAAAGGATGACAGGCTTATGCATCATGTAGGAGTGCAATGGTGGCCATAAGGCTGGAGCCACCTGGACAGGCATGCAATGCCTGGGAACAGTGTGGTCCTGATGGGGCAAGCCAAGGGAACTACAGAAGGTCCCAGAGCGTGGGAGGTTGTGGTGCAGTGAGTGTAGGGAGGTGAGTGTGGAAGCCTGGTGTGAGGAGCCCAGAAAGAAGAGGTCCAAGTAACCTTCTTGTCTCCTTGGCAGCAGGCAGGAGGTGAACAGGAGCCTTCAGGACTATTTGTCCACAGGCAGCCTTCCTCTGAGTCCTGCGCCATGCATCCCTAGGGCCCTGGGGGCTCTGAGGAGGCAGCCCCTCTCCTCCAACATGCATGCGTGACCCACCACGAAGCCCTGAAGAAATAACCACTTGTCACTGGAAGTGGATGGTCCCTGGGGGGCGGCTGGCTTGGCCAGTAGACTCTCCCTCTGGGTGCCCAGGTCTTACCTACACCTTAGCTTTTAGAGAATTTCCAACTTTACTAAAGGTGATTTCCCTGTCCCCATGTGTTGATATGCTTATTTGCCTTCCAGCTTCACCTTAATCTCTCCGAAGGTTTCTGCCTCCTCTGGATAGGTAGCTGGGAGTGCGCTCCAGGCAGACAAGGAGGCCAAGGTCTGGCTTCTAAAGGAGAGGGAGTCACAGCTGTGTATAGTTCTGCCCCCAGATTCCCCCAGAGCAAGGAGCGGTGTCTCCACGTGCCCTTCCGGCCCAGCCCAGCCAGCATCACCATGAACAACTCTCCCCACTCCCTCCTGCAGCTCCAGGACCAAGAATTCTGCATAATTGGGGTTCCCACTCTCTGGTCTCCCTCACTTTCCCAGCGTCAAACTCCTTGGGCAGCTGCTGGGGCAGCGGGTTGGGGAGAATGGGGTAGGGTCCAGGGCTGGGTACTTTCCCCATGCTGCCACTGGGATCTCCCGCTGAAATCCTGGCTATCAGCTACCAGGGAGAGGAGAAAGTGGGGAGACACTAGAAGCACGGTTCTGGGCACTCATCTGCACAACCCCTTCGCCTAGGGTGCGAGCGACCCCACCCTTGCAAGCCCTAATCCTTTGTCAGCAGTGCCCGGGCGGAGCTTGGCGTTGAAGGAGGCACGTGGGGGGGAGGCGGGAGTGAGGAGCTGCACGTGGTCCAGCCTCCTCAGCCCCGTGCACGTCCCCCGCCCCCTGTGAGGAGGGGTTTGGGGAGGTGGGGGCGGGCGGAGGGCGGCTCAGAGGGTGGGGTGCCGGCCCGCGGCGGGAGCTGTCCGAGAGACCTGGTGCTGAAGTAGGTGCGGACGTGCCTGGTGCCCGGCGCGTAGTACTCGGCGCCCAGTACCACGGCCAGCGAGGACCATGGCGTTCATGGTGAAGACCATGGTGGGCGGCCAGCTGAAGAACCTCACCGGGAGCCTGGGGGGCGGCGAGGACAAGGGGGCCGGGGACAAGTCGGCGGCCGAAGCTCAGGGGATGAGCCGAGAGGAGTATGAGGAATACCAGAAGCAACTGGTGGAAGAGAAGTGAGTGGGGCCCCTTCCCAGCTCCAACGACCTCCCCCCAGCCCCCGCAGCTGCCCACCCCCTCCCCCAGACCCCCTCCCTTACTTATTCAAAAGTGGTAAGAGGCTAAAATGTGCCACCTAGGCTGCCCCAGGGCCACCCATCTCACGCCTAGAACCCCACCCCAGCTTCGACCTCTATCCCAGAGGGAGTGGGGGCAGGGGAGACAGGGGCCGGGGATGGGGTTGGGGACACGTGCGTTCCTGCCGAAACGAGTAATCCCTTAATCCGATCTGGTTTCGGCCGTCTGCATCTTCCAACTGGAGCCCCCCTGAGCCTGAGGCTTTGAGAGGGGCAGTGCAGCTGAGGGGGCTCAGAGTCACGGAGACAGATCTTGAGATGGGGGCTTTTACAGGTATTGAGGCTACTTGTTCTCGGGCAGTGCTGGGACAGAGAGGCAGCCGGTGTGCAGTTAGAGTTTGGACTCCAGAGCCAGACTGCTTGGGTTCAAATCCAGGTTTTGCTTCTTTTTACTTGGGTGACTTTAGGCAAGTTACTTAACTTTTCTGTGTCCCAGTTTCTTCTTCTGTAAAAAATGGGGGTGGTAATCATACAACATGCCTCATATATTTATGAAGATTAAATTACTTAACACACATAAACTGCTTAGCACAGTGCCTGGCGCATGGAAATCATCAAATGTTGGCTTTTATAATTTCACTTATCCCGAAGACAGTTTTGTAAGTTGCAAAATCTTACCCCTTTTACAAAAGAGGAAGGTAAATAACTTACCCAAAGACATACCAAATGCGGTAGTGGGGCCAGGACGCAACTCCAAGTCTGCAACGCAATCTATCAGGGAAGGAAAAGACAGACCTGGTGGAGGCTGCAAATGACATAAATTAGGGTCCTTGGAGAGACCAAAACAGATTGACACACCTGCCCAGACAGTGGGTGCAGACAGGACAGAGGGACCTGTGATGGGGAAAGAGGCAGCAAAGACTAGTCGAGGCCCCCTGGCCACATCCAGGCCCCAGGCCTCCGGACACAGGACCCCTCCGGGCCTTTCCTCGAAGATCACGCCGATTCTCTAGACCCTCCCAGTGATTCCACCCCCGGTTGTCCCTCAGGATGGAGCGGGACGGGCAGTTTATGCAGAGGAAGGCAGAGCGGGCCACACTGCGGAGCCACTTCCGGGACAAATACCGGCTGCCCAAGGTGAGCTTGGGAGCCTGGGCGGAGAGGCACTCGCAGGGCTCTTTCGCCCTGCTCTCAGCCCAGCAGCTGTCATCTCCTAAGGCTTATGGAATGTTTGGTTAGATCCTTCCTTCTCTCGCTCATTAGTTCATTCACTCATTCATGGCCAACTGCCACCTGCCAAAGGCCACAGGCTTGGCACTGAGTAGATGCCCCGTCCTCTGAAGACTGGTAGGTTTGTGTTTCTGGAGCCAGTTCAGACCCCCTCTCTCTACCCCAGCCCTGAGTCAGGCTTGAGCAGAAGAAGAGGGGGAAGGAAATAGTTTTTACTGAAGAGGTGAGTACTCTTGAGGCTTCTGAACACCCAGGGACAGTGGAGTGGAGGAAAGAACGCAGCAGCCTCTGCCTCCCAGGCACTTGACCTCCGTGTCCTTACCCAACCCCTCAGGAGTGCTTCCAGGTAGCCGTCACCCATGTCTACAAATAAGGGACCTGAGGCTCAGAGAGATTAGAGATTTAGGACTGAGGTCACACAGCTAGAAGGGTCATGGGAATGGGCAGCGCTGAGACCTGTGAGTGATGAGCCTGTGCTTGCTCCAGGAGCCTGGAGTCTGCCTGCAGAGGGCCAAGTACCTGTTTGTCTGGCCAAGCAGCCAGGAGGATGACACCCCTAGGCACTGCAGCATCAGATCAGTATGTAAGTATTGCCCAGGGAGGGAATTAAGGCATAAGCCGCTCTCAGTGCCCAGAACTGTGCCAGACTCTGAGGGGAAACAGAAATAACACTCCTGACCTTGATCTTCCTCTTATATCAGAAGATCAGGTACGTGAACATGACATGCACTCATTCAACATCAGTTTATCAGTCTCCTGGCTGCCTCTGATTTCTCCACAGGCCACCAGTCTTTTGGAAGTCTGTCAGAAAAAGAGCAGTCCAAAAAGCCTGCCTTTCTAGAAAGTTACTGAGTTAAACTCAGCTAGGAATGGAGTTTCAAATGCTTGCGCTATGGATATAACAGAACTCCTGCCATCAGGAAACTCTTGGCTGGAACTGAGTAGGACATAAAGTGGGAAGGGACAGGAAGTGCGATGGCAATCAGTAGGTGCTGTGCAAGGAGGGCACAGATTCTGGAATCAGTGACATGGGTTTAAATCTAGCTCTGCCACCTCCGAGTTGTATAACCTTGGACAAGTTACTTGTCTAGATGATCCGAGCCTCAAGTTCCTTATTTATAAAATGGAGACAATACCTGCTTCACGGGGTCATTGTGAGAATAACAGTTTGACGCCCACATGTTCCCTTTCTGTCTTTACTATGTCAGTATCTTACCTTCAGTACCTCCAGGTGAGGTAAAGTAGTGTAAAAGTCCAAGGTCTTCATGTCCAAGTGTGGAAGGCTTGATCCTGGGATGTGGGAGTGGGGGCTGAACCCAAGGATCTAGGATCCTGGAACTGAGCCCAGGCCTCCTCCCGGCCCCCTCAGCTCCGGGTCCTCACCGACCTCCAACCCCACCTCACCCCCTCCCTCTTCCCTTAGAATGAGACAGATGAGAGCCAGATCCAGATGGCAGGTGGAGACGTGGAGCTGCCCCGGGAGCTGGCCAAGATGATTGAGGAGGACACCGAGGAGGAGGAGAGGGCCTCTGTCCTCGGGCCACTGGCCAGCCTCCCTGGCTTGGATCTCGGCTCACTCAAGGACAAGGCTCAGACCACACTGGGGGACCTCAAGCAATCAGCTGAAAAGTGCCATGTCATGTGACTGTGTCCTCCGGGGTTGGCCGTGGGGCTGGCCGGAGGGCCGGGCCACGTGCGAACCAAGGGCATGCCTCCCAGAGACCCACACCGCATCCTGGCCTTGTTTCTCCTGCCCAGCACTGGCCTCAGGACCAGGCCCCACTCAGCACAAGCCTGCTTTCTGTGTTCCCCCTCTCCACTGAGAACAAAGTCCCCAGTCCTTACACTACCCACCCTTTCTATTCAACCAGGAAGCCTCCCAAGATGGTAAGAACAGGCCATGGCCCCAAGTTCCTACACACAGAAGCATCCATAGAGAGACGCACACAGCGGGACATGGAAGCCCTAGCATGTGCAGAGGCATACGCCACAGATGCATCCTGGCACACACACAGACACACGTGCACAGCCGGCTCCCCTGTGGGCCTAGCCCCTCTAGACACCAATGCTCAGATATGCTTAAAGCCGTCTTTGGGAGGGTCCCCTCAGCAGAAAGGAGGCCTGAGTTCGTCTCCATATTTATCCTCCTTGAAAGCCACTGCTCTTTCTGGGCTTTAACTCATCACCTATAAAATGGAGATAGACTGGGTAATTTCTAAGACTCTTTCTAGCTTGGCCTCCTTGGCCCTCAGAGCCAAGCCCACACCCCTTCTTGGGTAGGTCAGCAGCTGCAGCCATAGCCTCAGGCATCTGCCAGTGTACTATGGCTCCGGCTCCTAGTTGCTGAGCGATACTGTGTGAGGGACCCAATGCCAAGCAAGAAGCTGGCACCAAACAATAGCCCAGGCAGCTCTAGGCCTCTGGGCCCAGGCCCAGGCAATTTCTGTTCTGTTCCCATAAATCTCCCTCCAGATTCTATAGCTGAATCTCCTCTCTCAGCTCAGTGAAAAATAAAAATTCCAAGTGACATACCTGTCTTCCTACTTCTTGCTGACCTCCAGGAGTTATGGGGCTCCAGCCCTGCCTTTGGGGAGGTGTTTACCTCCTCACCCACTCCTCTCTAGAAGCGTTAGCCTCTGTAACTTGTTCAAGCTCTACCCTCACAGGGCGCTGGGCAAGGGCGGAGCCCCCACGCGGACAGAACCGGTCCAGCCTGGAACCAGACAGAACAGATCTCCGAGAAGGATGAGAGAGCCAGCTTGCTGGGGATGCTCCTGGGGAAGGCAGGGCCACAGCTCAACCACAGCGGTCCCCGGCACCAGTACCTATACCCCATCTCACCTGGAACACTGACGGTGTAACAAAAAGAAATACGAGCCCTGGCACTGCTGTGCGACTTGGAACAGACCCCCTTCCTTTGCTGAACCTGTCTCCCCATGTGAAATGGGGAGCTCCCCCATCAGAGTCATAACAATTAGACATGTTTCAAAGGGCGACCATTTGTAAAGCCCTCAGCATGTCGACAGACCCTCTTGATAAATGATAACGCATTCTTTAAAAAAAAGGAAAAGCCCGAATCTCATCCTGCTCACCTATTGGGGGTCCAGGACACCAACCAAGAGGCTCCAAGCAGGCCACCCCAGGAGCCTGAGCAGGAACAAGGTGCTACCAGCCAACGCTAAGGACCCCCACCCAGCATCACCCTGTGGGGAAGCCAGCAGAGCGGCCATCTGAGGGTTTGGTTTAAAGGGCAAAGTTTCCATTAGGCTTCCTTTTTACGATAAGAACAAGAAACATCACACCTGTGCAGTAGGTAGTGTGGAGAGGGACAGGCGGAAGAAAGAGGAGAAGAGGAGAAAGAATTAGGAGGGTGAGGCAGGGGGGAGGCGGTCCCAGGCCCAGGGCAGGGCTGCTCGGGCTGTCACGCTGGGCCCTCTGTCTTGACCTTCCCCAGGGAAGGGGCCTGGGCCTCTGAGCCGCTCCCAGGATGCCCCCTGGCCTGGGCGGTTGGACACAAACCTTTCCCGACCTTCCTGGAGCTGGAGGAGACCCAAGTCTGGATGGGGGCGTGGGCCTCCTCAGCAGCGTCAGCCGCAAAGCCCACATCACCCCTCCGCCCTCCAGGGCCCTTCTGCCTAATGAAACCGGACAGACCCCTTTCCCTTCAGTGGTTTGCAGGACCCAGAGTGAAAGACGCCAGGAGGCAGGCTGCGGGAGACTGGGGGTTAGCGCTCACCGAACCCTCACAAGAGGGGCTGGCTAGGGGCCTGCAGTCAGGGAGCAGGCCTCGTTCCCAGAGACAGAGGGGTGCAGAGGGAACAAGTGACTTTCCCAGGTCTAGTTGGTCCCCAGGGAGGAGTTGGGGTGGGTGACAGGGTTTGGAGTTCAAAGGATCTCCCCTTCCCCAGTGGCCAGATGGTCTCTCCTCAGACACTGCCAGGCAGTTGCTGGGGACATCTGGGGAATGATCATGTGCTGAGCTTGAGATGCTGGCAGTGCCTAGTGACCCAGCTGAGACCTGACGCTGTGTTGGGGGTTGGGAGCTGTGTGTGAGGGGAGGGAGGGAGCCACAGAACCTGCTGCCCTGCCTCTAACCCAGTGCCCGCCAGGCATAGCTGTCCCCAGAATCCCTGCGTGGCAGGCTCCAGAAGAGCATGGGAGCCAGAGTGGGCTGAGTCCCCGGGAGCAGCACCGTTGAGGCTGCCTCGGCCTTACTGAGCAGGAACCATGCCTGTCTGTGTGGGGTCTGCACGGGTCACGGGTCTATGAGCTCGGAGGTGGTTTTGGTGGTTTTGTGCCTCCCACCCACGGCCTGTTCTGGTGGGTCTATGCCTGTGTGTTTGAGTGTCTGTGGGATTCCAAGCACAGAGGTACGGGTGTGAGTTCCTCTGGGGACAGTGGGCATTGATGTGCCCCCTCCACTCATGCTCCAGCCTCAGGGCTGAGCCGTGTCCCTCTCAGGAAGGGTTGTAATCGCAGTCACCTCTGGGGACAAGAGCCCTTCAGGATGACCTCCTGCAGGAACCAAGTTTCTATGTCCTTCCCCATCTCCCCAGCTGGCAAAAGAGGGGCAGGCTGGGCACAGGACACCTGGGATCCAGCTCTGGGCTTGCGGGACTGCGTGGAGGTGGGAGGACAGGGCAGGGTGAGGCACCCAGATGAGGCGGGTGTCTGTCCTGTTTGGGGCACTTTCAAAATGTTAAAGGTGAGAATTGGAAACAACTCTCACCCCTAAAGGAAAAATATATTTTTAAAGAAGCAGATTAGCGTATTTCCCATAGGCTTCTGCCATCTGAAGAGAGCCCTGGAGACACAGCCCTCTGTCCTCCCGCTGGGCTGTCGCCCTCCTTGGCCCATGGCTGAGCCCCAAGACCAGCCAGGGAGGGCTGTTTGCCGGGGCCTCCACCAGCCTCAGCCCCCCAGGCCTTTCCTGCACCCGGTCCCCCTGCAGGGCCCGCTCCTCTCCACACCTCCAGGTGTAATAACTTCAGGCCATTCTCAGCCAGCCGGCGCAGATGCCACAGATAGACAGCTGGGGTCTGCGCGCCCTCTATCCCATCACCCTTCCTCGCTCCCACCGTCCCTCCCACCCATTCTTCTGCATTCACCCACCAGCTGGCTCCTCCTTTCTTCTCTCTCCTCCTTCCTTTCCCTCATTTTATGTTTTTTGTCCAGCCCATTGCCAGAGATTCTGAAGTACATTCCTTTCCCTGTCTGAAAATAACATTTTTTTGAATCCGTGCTATGTGTCACGCTCATGTACAGTTACTCGTTTAATCCTTACAAATTCTGACGGGTGCTTATCTTCATCCTCATTTTATGGAGAAATGGGTTGGTTAATCAATGAGTCCCAAGCTTCAGGGTCAAATGGCCCCGCCTGGATTTTAGCCACACCTCCTGCCTGCTGGACCACTTCTCTACACTGCCCCCCAGTGGCCGAGCTCAGTGCTGTGGGGAAACTAGGTCCCTCCTGGCATGTTTCCCTCTTGGTACAGAGGCCCTTTATGGAAGGCTGAGCATCTTGGGGGTATCTAAGTCTAGAGGACTGATGCCTTGGTGGCTGCCTGACGGATGGGCTCCCTCTCCCCGTTAAGTCCCCAAAGATGCTTCTGAGTGCTGTTCAATTGGAGACCTTGGTGGTTGAGGGCAGGGGGTTTTTGGAAACTGCCCTGGTTTGGAGGTCCTGAGGGGCTGGGTATGAGCACAGGACACCCTAGAGGATGAGCCTTGTCCCCAGCCCAGTTCAGTGCCCACCTAGCAGGCAAGGGGGAGGGAAGCCAGTGATCCTGCCTGGGGAGTGTGCAGTGCAGAGCAGAGGTTTTACAGGACTGCCCTTCTGCCACTGAGTCCACCCTTCTCCAGGTTCGGAGGGGGCCTTCCCCAGCTTCCAGGCCCACGCCTGTTCCCTCCCCACTAGGTGCTGGGGTCCTCTAGGCGGCAGGCAGGAATGGTGGCTGGTTAGCCTGACTCTCCCAGACCCTCCAGGTGGGCTCTCACTGCCCCCATCATCCTGTGGCCTCCCCAGACCTCCCTCAAGTCACCCAGCGTTTCCTGGGGCACCTCCAGCCCCAATCCGTGAACAGGGCCTTCCTCCCCGGTTTTGCCGAGGACAAGAAGCAAAGCACAAGTTCAGAAAATAATTTAATAGAGAAACAAGAGTTAGATTCTTTACATCCAGCCTCCTGCAGGGAAGACAAACTCTTGCGCCAGGGAGGCATTGAGCAGAGGGTTACAAATCACAAACACCCTCTAATTTTTTAAAAAGAAACCCCAAATAACTCTAGGTGTGTACATTCGTCTCCAGATTAAAGTCCTTTGTCCTCCTAAAGGCCCATGTTAGAGGCTGAGATCCTGGCTGTGGCACTGGAAAGATGGGGAGACCTAGGACCAGAGAGGGGAAGGGCTTGCCTGGGGCCCCACACTGGAACAGTAGCAGTGTCGGACCTAGAACCATGTCCCCTAGATTGCTGGCTCCCCCAAAGCTTGATGGGTCAGGCAGCCCCTAGGTCTCCCCTTCCCAGGCCAGGAACAGTTCTAAGGCAAACGGAGGGTGCTCCCCAAAGAGAGATTGAGGGATGGCGGTAAGAGGGATGGAGACTTTGGACCCTTCCCCATGGGCCCCCTGGGCCAAGGCAGGAACAAGGCATGGGTTTCTCAAAATTGCCCCACCCCTGCAAAGTATATTATTTCCCTGCTTGAAGGATTATCTTAAATACTGAGAGGGTAGGTTGGGGTCAACTCCCAGGAGGACTGGTGACTTTGTGGGGCTGAGTGCATATGTGGGAGGGACCTTTCTGGTGTAAGGAAGGGGGTACGCTGCAATACAGGCTTCCAGGAAGGGCAGGGCAGGCACAGCGTGCGGCTGCCCACTGGCAGGGAGGGCGCAAGAGCAGAACTGCCCTGCAGGGGCCCCCTGCCCTCTTTATCAGAGCAAACACAGAAAAGCCTGATGCCCCAAATCCACAGGCTCAGGACCCAGCAACCACCAAGTAACAAAAGTCACATGAAAGAAACCTTCCCGGAGTTCTGCTCTCCTCCGAGTGCTCCCGGCACACAACCTGGGCCGTCAGACCCTCTTCTGGGGACGACTATCCTGAGGGGGGCTGGGCACCCTGGCATGTGGGGGCTCTCGGAGATGCCTGTCCAGGAAGCCTGCTCTGCAGGATTCTGGGCGTTGGCATGGGAGTGTCCCCCAGCTCCAGTCATCCATCCAGTCATCTTCTGGGGTCACTGCAGGGAGCAGGCTGTGAAGGGGGAAGGGGGAAGGGTCAGTCTCAGGTTCTGACAAAAGCAGCAAAAACCACAGCCCTCACCCCTCCTCGGACGGAGGATGGGACCCCAGGGCGGGACTCACAGCCTCGAACAGACTCCAGAAGCCCCTCTTTGTCCAGGGTCTCAGCTTCCCAGTGAGACTCCCTCACCTGCGGGACACAAAGGCAGCACGGGGGTGGGGGGCTGAGAGACAGCCAGAGACAGGCAACCGGGGGCACGAGGGACAGAGACAGTCATGCAGCCAGAGGCTAGAGGGAGACGCACACGAGGGGAGCTGGGTGGGGTGGGGTGGGGAGCAGACGGCCACAGGCAGAGCACCGCAGAACCCACACAGCCTCACACCGATGGGCCCCCCACGTGCCCACCTTGACCTGCTCCTTCAGGTATTCAGCTCGAGCCATGAGGTTCTGGACCTGCCATGGGGGGTGGGGAGGTGGAGCATCCCGAGCGAGCGCCTGCTCACCCCTGATGCTCTCTGAACCTTCCGCCCTGTCCTGACACCCTCCCTCTGAGTCCCTTATCTGCCCCCTTCTCCAGGAAGCTCTCCACACTGAAATGGCCCCCAAGGTTCCGCTGCTGGGTTTCCAGGTCCTGTGTGCCCCACTGCCCTGACCTAACCAAGCCCAGGGGCCCATGCGGCCACTGACTTGCCAAGCCTGAGGTCCGATTCCCAGGCTGAGGAGGTCCCCCCAGACAGAGCAGGGTCAAAGGGGATCCCAGCCCAGCCCCTCCCAGCCCAGTGGGTACCTCGGTGTGAAGCAGCTCCCGCCTCCGGCCCGGGGGCTCCGCTGCAAGGACAAGGAGGGCACACGGTGACGCCAGGGCAGCAGGGGCCCAGGCGCGTGCCGACGAGGGGCCTCACCTGCCAGCAGCAGCAGCAGTTCGGCCAGGCCCTGCTGGTACAGGTCCAGCGCATCCTGCTCCCCACCGGCCTCCTCCTCCTGCGGCCACAAGGACTCCGGGTCAGTGAGGGTCACGTCACGCCAGGCTCCTCACCCGGACACCCTGTGCTCGGTACACACCTTGGCTGTGGCAGCTGCAGCTACTTCCAGGGCAGCCAGGAGGCGCGGCTTGTCACAGGCCATCCCTGGGATGAGGGGCGGAGGCTCGGGGTGAGAGGCAGCCTGTTTATCTGGTCTCAGGAAGGCCACCCCAGCGTGCCCCCCGCCGCAGGCTGCAGGGAAGCAGCTAGGGTGCCAGGCCAGAAACCGGGCCCACCTTTGAGCAGGTCCCGGGCAGAGGTTCCCTGCCTCTGCAGGGCCCGACTGGAGGAGATGATGGCCTTGAGCTCCTCGGCCCGAGACACATACTGCCCCACCTGTGCGGGGCGAAGGGCTGAGGAGGGGCTGTCCCGCCCCGCCCCACTCCCCAGCACCCCCCTCCAAGTTCTCCCTCCGCCCCTCAGTGACTGCCCCCAGCTGTAATGTCACGGGCAACTGAGGCTGGCCTGCCCCCTTCCCAGGAGAGGAAGTTTCGGTTCTGAGAGCCAGTCCCCGGAGTCCCGGGAGTCCCCCATCCCTCAGACATTCCTTCAGGGGACTCCCACTCACCCACCTTTGCCTTAATCGCCTCCTTCCTCTGGGTATCCACCTCATCTGTAGAAAGTGGGGGTTTACAAGAGTCTGGGGTGGGGGAACCCTGTGCCACACCAAAGCTTTCAGAATCTCCAAAAGCATGAAGTTCCGGATTTGCCCTCTGCCTTGTCTCCCACAGATCTGGATGGCAGGCTGCCTCTGGAATCCGGGCACTGCAGCTCTGCCGGCCACCCCCTTCCGCACCCAGGGGCCCCAGGTGCTCACAGCGGAGGGCAGGCACGAAGAAATCCAGGGCCTTGCAGTAGAGGGAGAAAGCGGCCGCAGCGTCCCCTGCGTGGTCCTTCTCCACAGCCTGCACTGCCAGGGCGGTCTGGGGGGCGGGCAGGCCGGAGTCAAGCGCCCCCCCATGCTCCCCACGAAGGGAGAAGAGCAAGTTCCCTGTCCCTGCCAAGTCACCCCTCGCCACTGTAAGGGGCAGAGGAGACCCCCAAGCCGCCCTGGCCCCAGCCCATCCCCGCTGGCCTGCTCACTGCTCGCGCCAGGCTCTCTCCGCTGGGCATGTGCACCAGGTCCACCCAGGGGTGGGCGAAGAAGTCCTGGAAGGAGATGCGGCGGCTGGGGTCCCGCTCCAGGAGCCGCTGCAGCAAGTCCCGGCAGTCTCGGGAGAGCGGGGGCCGCAGAGGGAGCTGTGGGGGAGGGTGGGGCAGGGGACGGACCACACTGGGCTCCGACACCCCAGCCCCCAGTCCCGAGGCCTGCAGGACCACCCTGTCTTGTCCTGGGACACTTCAGAGGTACATGCTTGGCAGGTGGAAAATCTGACGCCCAGGAGGAAGTGACAGGTCAAGGTGACGGAGCCAGTGCAGAGCCTGCCGAAGGTTCGTGCCCACACCCTCCACGCAACACCCTGCTATCCCAGAACCCCGTTTACGGGTCCTGCCCCCCTCCCTGGTCAGGACGGACCTGGGTCTGCTTTGGCCCTCTCTTCCCCCTGTTGTGGGATGTGGCCCCTGGAAGGGCACAGGGCTTCAGGGACCAGTCTAGAGCACCCCAGGCTGTGCAGGCGGCAGTGAGGTCTCCGGTCTCCATCCTCAGGCTGTGATTCCCTCTGCCCCCAAGGGGTGCCGAGGCCCTGCTAGACTCACCTCAATAACTCGGGTGCTCCGAATCTTCTCCTCCAGCTCTATGAACGACCTGGAAGCAAAGGGGGGCTGCCCGAAGAGGGCTTCTGTGGAGGAGAGGCAGAGAGCAGGCTGGGGTGGAGAGGGTCAAGCATGGCCTTGCCCAGTCCTGGGGAGAGGGTCTGGCACCCCTCAGAACAGGAGCCTTAGGCCAGTAGAGTCAGCATTCTCATTAGAGCCTTTCAGGAGGGGCCCCCAGAGGCCTTGCCTCAGGACACACAATGCAGGCCTCTGGCAAAGGGGCAGGGAAAGGAGCCCTCACCATACAGGATGACCCCCACGGACCAGAGGTCCACACGGGCGTCGTACTGCCGCTGACACACCATCTCAGGGGCCATGTAGAGCGGGGAGCCACGGAGCACATGCTTCTCATCCCACGGGGACATGTGTTGTGCAAAGCCGAAGTCTGCGGGTGACAGGCCAGGCGGCAGAGCTCAAACCCCGGCTGCTTCTGCTCCCGGCTTTCAAAGGCTCACCCTGGGCTCCGGCGTGGGCTCCTTGCCGCGCCCCGGACTCGCCAGGATCAGTCCCACTTCCCAGCCCTTGCTCGTGCTGTTTCTCTCCCTGCTGGCCTAGAACCTTCCTACATCTTCCTCTGCAGGCACAAACCCCACTCATCCCACACAGCACCCCCTCAGGTACCTTTTCCCAGGGAGCACTTTGCTCACAGCCGCTATGAGGATAAGAACGTGCCAGGTTAGAAGCCTCCCTGCCTCACCAAGCTCGGCTTTCACCCCACTTCCAGTCTCCATCCGCACGTTGTCTCTCAATGCTCAAGTCAATGCCCCTCCAAATCCTAGCAGGGCCACAACCACCCCCCTCCCCATGCCCCCCAACACTGCCACAGAAAGAGTTGTAGTTTGACCCTGACCCCAGACTGAGCCCAAGTTCCGACCATCCACCGCTGGAGTTCGGTGTGGGTAGCCCGAGAAAGGTCCTACCTTTCGGCGATGGGGCCCATCCCTGGATCTCCCAGCCTGGCCTTGTTTGATGACTGAACAGAGGGCTACGTGACAGACAAGGAGCCCAGGCGGAGGGAGCCTCTGCGCACGCATCCCCAAACCTCATCCCTGCTGTTCCAGACTCACACCTGCCAGTTTAAGGTGGGGCTTCTCCAAGGAGCTCAACAGAATGTTCTGTGGCTTCAGATCCAGGTGAGAGATGTTCCGTTCATGCAGAAACTGCAGGGCACTAGCTGGGGAATAGGACCCACACAGAGAACCAAGTCAGCAGAGCCCGTCTCCCACCTGCGTCTTGCCTCCCCAGGCCGGCATGTGCCTCTTCGACCCAGCACAGCCCCAGTTCTGGCCCGACTGGTCTACTGAATGTTTTACATGCAAGTGCCAGGTTCCTGCCACATCTAAGAATCTGCACCTCACCCCCACCCCAAGTGCCTTCCTTCCTCCTTTGGGCCTCTTCACAAGTCTTCCCTCTTTCTAGAAGCGTCTCTGGATGCACCAGCCCTTTGGGCTCTTGCTCCTTCTGCAGGTAAAGCACTTGGGCACTACCCATTGGGCCCTGGAATGTTCTACGAGGTGCTTTTATGTTCCACATGGGAAAATCTGGGCTTACCACAGATGGGGGCTCCTCCCTGTCACAGCAGCCTTAAGCCAGGGATGGGCACAGAGGAAAGATGGGGCCCTAAAAATCCAAGCTGTGGCCAGGAGGCAACTACTGAGAATGCCAGGGCCCTAAGCCTGGGGCAGGGGTCGGGTGGGGAGCAGAGATCATAAGTAGGGGTATCAGGCTGGGGTCAGAGACTTTTACCCAACTGCTGCATGAAAACTTGAGCCACCTTCTCCGGAAGAATCCTACGGGTATGGATGAAGCGGGACAGGTCACCCCCCGCACAGAACTCCATGATGAGGTAGATGTGGTCACTGTCCCACTGTGGGCAGAGGCAGAGAGGCAGCGTGAAGAGAGGGCCCCTCCTCCGGCCCCCTTTGGAGGTGGCCCCACCTCAGGCCCGCACCTGGAAGTCTTTCAGCTGTACGATATGGGGGTGTCGGACGCCCTTAAGGATCTCAATCTCTGTCAGGAGGTTTTCCACAGATGCCTTGTTCAGACTCTTCTTGGCCACACACTTGATGGCTACTACCTCACGTGTGTCCTTCTGGGGGGACAGGAGATGTGAGGGTTCCGCCTTGAGGGGGACAGGGCGCATGCCTGACCAGAAAGGCCCTGGTTCGCTCTGCCCGTCTCCCCCCGCCCCGGGCCTGCCCACTCACACCAGCCTCCAGCCAGCCTGCCCAGCGTCCCCTTCTCAGGCTAGGGAGGCCCGAGCCTCTGGAGTCCGGTCTCCCCCCCAGCCTGGTGCTCCCCGGCTCCTGGCGCCGGAACCCACTTCGCGGCCGTCTAGAACGCTGCCTGCTAACTCACGTCATTCAGCGTTCCAGGGCTGCCCACTCTGCTTGCTAACCGGTCCAGCATTCTCGAACACTGACTCCTCCCGGGCCACCAGATACCCCGTTTTAAGCCTGTTCTTCAGCCACTGACACGGAGGCCCCCACGAAGTCTCCACCCGCTCCTCCAGGCAGAGCAGGGGTGAGTACATACGTGTGTTTGAAGGCCCGAGGGTGGCAGTCGGCTCCCGCCTCCAATGCCCGGGCTCGGCCGCTCTTTCGCCTTCTAACCTCTCCTACCTTCCCGGCCTGGTACCCACCCGGACCTGCCCGGGGTCTGGCGGGGCGGGGGCCAGGTCCCCAGAAACCCTCGTGTCCCCGTCCCCGCCCGCACCCACCTTGGCGTAGGCCTTGTACACCGTGGCGTACGAGCCACTGCCCAGGCGCTCGGTGAGAATGAAGCCGTCCAGCCGCGGGGGGCCCCAGCCGGGCCCCGCCATTCCGCGCGCCCCACGCCGCCCCACGCCGCTTCCTGGTTCCCGGCGCCCGGTGCCGGCCGGGAGCCGAGCGGGGAGCGCGCGGCTGCAGGACCGAACCCCACGCTGCCCCCAGCGCCGCCCGCCGGAAGTGCATGCGGAGGTCGGGGCGCCGGCTCCACAGCGGCCCCGCGGCCGCGCCCCCTCTGGGTGCGGAGGGTGCTGCTCCTGGGCGCCTCCCGGGCCTGCACCGCCACTGGAAGTCACATGACCCGTCAACACCCTCAAGATCCATCTGGGGATACTGGGGCACCCACGTGAGAAACGGAGGTGGGCAGAGGCCAGCGGCCGAGGCTACCTGGGGAATCCCACAGCATCCCAGAGATGCCCACGGGAGGGGGCTGGATGGGAGACGCCCAGCTGAGAAGGGGCAGGGCTGGGGGGTGCGGGGTATTTTTCAAAGAGGCCCCCCAGGGTCCCCTCCCACCCTAGACAAGCAGCTCTAAAGTAGACACAGGGGAACAGAAAGGACAAGTAGTTTTAGGAAGGGGCTCTCCCCCAGGGGTAAGGGGCTTGGCCATGTCCTCTCTGGCCTGCAGACCAATTCAGGCCCTATGGGCCATCCCCATCCTTCCAAGTCCACCACACAGCACCAACGCTGTCTGAAAATGTCATTTTTATTTAAAGCACAAAAATTGAGACATAACATAAACATTTGTACATGGAGAAAAAAATACCAGAAAGTTTACAAAACCTTGGTCACTGCCATTATCATTCAGCGGCTCTGGAGCTGAGGGGGTTAGCAGCCTGGTGGGCCCCAGGTCACAGAGGCAGGAGGTTGGCCAGCTCTTTGAGAAGTCCCTTTAGTCCACATACCCATTCCTACCACCTCTGGAGGGCAGAGTGCGGGTTCTGACGAAGGACTCCTAGGAACCCATCAGTGACCCCTCCTGGGGAATCCCCAGGACCAGCGGAGGGAGACTAGAACCCAATGGGGTACCGGGCAGTCCTGAAGGACTAGCCTGGAACACTCAGAAAAGTGACTTATCAATCCAGCCCGAAGGACACAGTTCTCAGCTGATTCCCCCGCCCTCCCTTAGAGTCACACAAGCTAGACACTGCCATCGGTGGGGGGGCAGTCTGGGGGAGAGTCTTAGGCCAATGCCAAGGACAGCTGGCCCTCAGGAGGAAAGGAAACCCCAAGAGGGCCACACAAACCACACCAGGCCAGTCAGACCCCATCCTCCCAGATGACTGCCAAAGCCTGGGCAGGACAACTTGGGGTCAGTGTCCTCTATCCCTCCCCAAATCCCAACCAATCCCACTGCACATTCAGTAAGTCTAAAGAAGGAAGCACTCAGGCAGGACCCCAGAGGGCACAGGGTGCTGCCCACACCATTAGGGTGCAGGGCACTTGAAGGGCTATGAATCTGTGTGTGAGAAACACAAGGTGGGGAACAGTCTGGGGCCACCAGGCCAGAGGCTCTAGAAGCCCAGAAACCAGGCCACAGAGATCTGAGGAACAGAGCTGTCCGCCCACCCAGACCGCAGCTTGTTTGAAGGAGCCCTTGGGAGGCTGCCTAGGCAGGAAGGAAGGGCAAGATGGGGGAAGCCTCAGGCTAGGTCTGCTGGGGGAAGAGTGGAGTCCCAGGACTCCCGCGGGAACAAACTGCAGCTGGGGTGGGCCCAGGTCAGTCAGTGACCGCAGGTGTGCATGTGTGCGCGTGTGTGCGTCTGCACGTGCGCATGTGTGCAGAGGGGAGAGAACTTCAGCCCCACTGCTTCCAGGGAGACAAAAGAAGCCTACCAAACCAGCAGGTCAGAAGGGAGGAGCTTTGTTTTTTTTCTTTTCTCTTGTGTAAAAATGAAGTTCCTGTCCCTCCCACCCCCTCCCCCGGGGTAGAAGAAAGGAGAGCTCCTCGCTGAGGAAGGAGGAGGGGCCACGGCCAGATACGCTCGCCAGGGCTCCGCTGGGCGTGACCACTGCTTAAGGCACTCACGTTAGTGCTGCTGGAAGGCAGATGGAAGAAAAGGCTGGGCAGGGGCGCGGGCTGGGAGGACTAGTTCCCCTGGAAGGCCCCTCGGGCAGCGGATGAGGCAGCACTGCGGACGGTCCTGCTGCTGAAGATGCCCTGGGAAAACTCCTCTTGGGCCTGCTGGAAGCTGGCCCCAGTTCGGCGGTACAGGGAGTGCACCTGGGGAAAGAGGCCCGGGTGAGAGAAGCCTGCCCAGTGCACCCACCAGGAGTGAAGCCATCCGGATTTATTGGACGCCCAGGGGGGCCACCCAGAACCCAAGCCTGCCTGACCTCCCGCCAGAGCCTTGGAGAAAGCTGCTGCACCTTTGGAAACCCAGGAGGCCCTACTGCTGCGGCGACACACATCCCCATGGTGAAGGTAGGAGACAGGCACCTGCTTCTTCAGGCTGCTTGTGGCCCAGCACCCACCACTTACCCGCTTCAGAAGGAAGAGCGAGAGCACAGCACAGAGGGTGAAGAAGCCAGCCACCACCATCATGATGACTGACACGGCCAAGTGGTCTTTCTTCAGTGTAGACAGGGCTGCAATCCAACCGCTATAAAGAGAGGAGGAGGCTGGGGTGGAGGGGGCACAGTGGGAGTGGGCCTCAGGGGTCCCTGTGAGGGTGTCTCCTCTAAGTGCCACTGTGTGCTGGCCACCATCAAGGCGTCTCCTTGCAGCACAGAGCCCGTGGGCCAGAAGCCCCTGCCCTGCAAGAGGCCAGGCCTCTGTGAAGGCCTACAGACACCGCTGCCCTCAGTCAGCAGCAGCACTGGGCAGGGTGTTTCCTGCTGCTCTGGGGGCCTAGGGGACATGGAAAGCCTGGCGACTCCCTCCTGAGCGCCTGGCCTCCGGGACACAGCACTGGCCTCCCCACTGACATCAACCTGCCACCTCAGCTCCTCCACCGGGACTCAGGACAGCCCCTCTTTCTCTAGGCAGTCACGTCATCTTCCTGAGCCCCAGGATCCTCATCTATAGAAAGAGAGAGCCTCACACTTCCTGGGTTAAGAACATACTACAAAGCTACAGTTAAAAACTGCGGCACTGGCACAAGGATAGGCATAGATCAGTGGAACAGAACTGGGAGTCCAGGAGCAAACGGATACACTTACCATCCACTGATTTTTGACAAGAGCACCAAGACCACTGAACGGGGAAACACTAGTCTCTTCGACAGATGGTGGTTGGACAACTGGCTATCTACGCACAAAAAGAAGGATGCTGGACCCTTACTTCAACCATATATAAAAGTTAATTCAAAATGGATCAAAGACCCAATAATAAGAACTAAAACTACTAAACTCCTAGAAGAAAACAGGTAACTCTTCATGACCTTGGATTTGGCAATGGTTCTTAGATATAATACCAAAGGCATAAGCAATAAAAGAAAAAATTGGACTTCATCAAAATTAAGAACTTTTCTATGGTAAAGGACCCTATCCAGAGAAAGAAAAAAATAACACAGAATGGGAAAAAATTTGTAAGTTACCTATCTGATGAGGAACTAGTATCTAGAAAATATAAGGTACTCAACAACAAAAAGACAACACAATTGCTAAGTTAGCAAAGGACTTGAACAGACATTTCTCCAAAGAAGATATACAGGTGGACAACAAGCACATAAAATATGGCCAACATCTTAGTCATTCAGGAAATGCCACTCAAAACCATAGTGAGATACTGCACCTCAAGGTTGGAGAAAGTAAGTGTTGGTAAGGATGTGGAAAAACTGGAACCCTCATACTCATACACTGCCATTAAGAATGTAAAACAGTTTAGCCACTATGGGAAACAATCTGGTAGTCCTTCTCAGGCTTATCATATGACCTAGCAATTCCACTCCTAGATATATACTCAAAAAAGCCAAAAACAGGTACTCAAAAACTTGTACAAAAATGTTCGTAGCAACACCTATTCACAACAGCAAAAAGGTGGAAGCAATCCAAATGTCTATCAACTGCTGAATGGATAAATAAAATGCAGTACATCTGCATAGTGGACTATTATTCAGCCATAAAAAGAAATGAAATACTAATATATGTTACAACACAAACCTTGAGAACATTATGCTAAGTGAAAAAGCCAGACACAAAAATCTACATATTTTATGATTCCACTCATATGCAATGTCCAGAATGGGCAACAGAGAGATACAAAGCAGCTTAATGTTTGCCAAAAGTTCAGGAAAGGAGGAGAAGGGGATGACTGCTTAATGGGCAAGGAGTTTCTTCCTGAGGAGATAAAAATGTTCTGGAACTAGATAGTGGTGATGATTGCACAACTCTGTAAATGTACCCAATGCCACTGAATTGTATACTTTAAAATGGTTTAAGTGCGAAATAAAATGATAAATTTTGTCTCATGTGTATTTTACAATCAGTAACAAAAAAAGGGGGGGATAATATCCACCTACCATGGTTATTGTGAGGCTGAAGGCTACAGGGCCTTCATGTAGGAGAAGCCCAGGCAGACAGTGAGGGCCGAGCCAGGACCAGAGCTCCACCTTCTGACTCCCAGCCCGGAGTGCAAACAGTGGTTATTAATCACACCCTTTCTACCAGGCTCGCTATGTCTAAGAGTAATGAATTAGGCCATAAATCAAAGAGAAAAGGGGCCAGATTAGACATAGCAAGGCCGGAGGCAGAGGGGTGGTGGGAGGGCAGCGCACACCTGCCCAGGAAGTGAGGTGAGTCAGTGCCCTCCCCGCCTCCGGACTAGCCAGCTCCACAGCAGGAGGGGCCAAAACAGAGCAGCCAGAGCAGGCTCAGGGTTCCAGCCACCGGCCAGTCCAACCTTTCTGGAATGTTCTCTGTGCACTGCGCAGAAAGGAAAACATTAGCCTCAACTTTTCTTTTTAAGACTAATTTCAGGCCTGATGATCGCAGCATTCAGAAACTCAAGCCAGCTGGATGCTCCAACATAGGAGAAAGAAGAAACTGATAGCGGAGAGGCTAGGGCTCCGGCTCCTGGGATTACTGGACCTCTGGAGGTCACAGCTCAGTCTGTCAAGGCCAGGGCATCTGCCAGCAGCTGCCCAAACCCAAGAGCCTGTCTGGGGCCTGTGGAAGGAGCACCAGCCTCTAGAAGGGCAAGGCAGGAGAAAAGGAGGGTGCGACCCAGTGCAGGAC